CAAATGTTATAAATTGAGTTGCAGTTCAGGGAGTAAAATAAGTATTTAATCTCCCTCCAACCAATAATAATTCTGGCTCCCAGTGACTGGATATGTGCTCATGTGATACACAAATTAGTCCTGTCAATTTAAGAAGGTGCTCCTATCGAAAACTCATTATTTGTATAAAAAGACACCTGTGCACAGAATCTCTTTCTTGGGCACCACCATGGGCAAGACCAAAGAGCTGTCAGAGGATGTCTGGGACAAGATTGTAGACCTGCACAAGGCTGGAATGGGCTACAAGACCATCAGCAAGAAGCTTGGTGAGAAGGAGACAACTGTTGGAGTGGTTATTCACAAATGGAAGAAATACAAAAAATAACCATTAATCATCCTTGGTCTGGAGCTCAATGCAAGATTTTGCCCTTGGGGTAAGGGTGATCATGAGAAAAGTGAGGGATCAGCCCACGGGAGGAGCTTGTAAATAATCTCAAGGCAGTTGGGACCACAGTCACCAAACAAACCATTGGTAACATATTACGCCACCATGGATTGAAATGCTGCCGTGCCTGCAAGGTCCTCGCTCCTCAAGAAGGCACATGTACAGGCCCATCTGAAGTTTGCCAATGAACATCTAAATGATTCAGAGAAGTATTCTGAGAAAGTGCTGAGGTCAGATGACACCAAAATTGAGCTCTTTGGCATTAAACTCGGCTCGTTGTGTTTGGAGGAAGAAAAATGCTGACTATGACCCTAAGAAAACCATCCCTACAGTCAAGCACGGAGGTGGAAACATTATGCTTTGGGGCTGTTTCTCTGCTACAGAAACAGGCCGACTTGCTGCATTGTGGGGCCAATGGATGGGGCTATGTATTGTAAAATCTTGGATGAGAACCTTCTTCCCTCAGCCAGAACACTGAAGATGGGTCGTGGATGGGTCTTACAGCATGACAATGACCCAAAACATACCACCAAGGTAACAAAGGAGTGGCTCAAGAAGTAGTGGCCTAGCCAGTCTCCAGACCTTAGTCTTATAAAAAATTTACGGAGGGAGCTGAAACTTTAAGCTGCCAAGTGACAGCCAAGAAATCTTAAGGATTTAGATAAGATCTGTAAAGAAGAGTGGACCAAAATCCCACCTGAGATGTGTGCAAACCTGGTAACCAACTACAAATGTCTTACCTCTGTGCTTGCCAACAAGGGTTTCTCCACCAAGTACTAAGTCATGTTTTGCTGGGGATCAAATCCTTATTTTACTCACTGAACTGCAATTCAATTTACACCATTTGTACCGTGTGTTTTTACTGGATTTTTGGTTGATAGTCTGGTCTCTATCATTTAAAATACACCTATGATAAAAATGATAGACCCTTCATTACTTTGTAAGTGGGCAAACGTACAAAATCTGCAGGGGATCAAATAATTATTTTCCCCTCTGTATACAAACAGTGATGGCCCTTCTCAGCCTGTCATTTCATTGTACAAGCTGAGCCACCGCAGTAGATCACATTCACCTGTAATCACAGTCACAAGAGTCTACTGATTCTTGCTGCTGGAATCTGCTGTAGTGAAGGAGGCCGAACTGTTATTCATATACAGCATACAAAAACAGTGCTAGCGGGTGTCACAAAGCCCCTGGTCACATTCAAACCTGCTTTGGAAGTTTGAATGTGATAGGTGAAACACCAAATAGAGAGAAAAAGTTACAGGTGTCAGGAAACAGACCCACCCATATGTGAGATCTTTGGAATCTGATTGCAGTGGATGACTTGGAACTAATAATAATATTAATAATAATAATATCAAGGGGCTGTTGCAGAGACAGGATTTAACAGGCCAGCAATTGTCAGTCTTTATCAGACCGCTGACCCTCTAAGTTCAGGTTATGTAAAGAAAATCAGCACAAGGGATGATAATTATATTTAATGATAAGTGTCCTTTGTGCTGTTGCCGACTGTCCTAGTTGAAATCTAAAGTACTCTGCACCCCCATAACCCTGCAGTCATTAATAGAAAAAAACAAAAAAAAAAAAAAAAACCACTGGACCTGTCATATGCATCATCAAGAGTGCCGACTATGACCTTTCCACCCCCCTCCTCTATTCTTGGAAGCTGTACTATAGCTTACATGAATGAAAAGCACTCCATAAATTTGGAAGACGGACCTCATTTATCTGCCTGTTTTCCATTCACAGATCACTTTTCTTTTGATAAGATAAAGGAGGGGTCGGAAAGGGCAGGCATAGTCAGCACTCTTGGTGGGTGCCTCTGACAGGTCTAGTGCTCGTATTAACCCCCAAAGCACCAGAAGATTATGGCTGCGGGGGAATAAGGGGACAGAGGAACCATCTGGCCAGCAGCAGCACAATGGCCAGTGTCACAAGTACTGTCCCTTGTGCTGATTTTATTTTAATTTTCCTATACTTAGGGGAAGATTTACCAAAACTGGAGCACTCTGGCTACCATGCACAGCTGCACCAGATTCAGAGTGCTCCAGTTTTGGTAAATCTTCCCCTAAGTATAGGAAAATTAAAATAAAATCAGCACAAGGGACAGCTGATTGGCTACCATGCACAGCTGCACCAGATTCAATCAGCTGTCCCTTGTGCTGATTTTTTATTTTAATTTACCTATACTTAGGGGAAGATTTACCAAAACTGGAGCACTCTGAATCTGGTGCAACTGTGCATGGTAGCCAATCAGCTCCTAACTTCAGCTTGTTCAATTAAGCTTTGGTATTAATACCTGGTTTCTATGCAGAGCTACACCAAATTTTGCACTCTCCAGTTTAGTAAATAACCCCATAAGCCTTTAACTACTAAACCTCATACTTGGTCTCCTATCTTCTGAGGTTGCAGGCAACTGAAAAACCTAAAAATTTCAACCTCTGACTGCATGAGCTACCAGCTTTCATGAGCTCCTGAACCTTTCCTTTTCCTACTAACATCCATTTTGTTTTGAACAAGCAATGCACATTAGTTGTGGTCATGTGCACTGCTCTATGCACACTACAAATCCCATAGTCCCTAAGTAGTCTTAGGAGCGAGCAAGAGAGGGTGGCTACGTTCCTACATACAGTGGGGCCATGGAGAACAAATGTAGCCACCCTCTAAGAGGAAGTCAGACCTCAGCAGAAAATTTTTTTTTTTAAAATAAATAAATTTGGAGGTTTGGAGGAGGCAGAGAGCAATAGAAGGGACCTTTTTGAGTTAAGGTGTTACTAAACCCACAACAGTAAAATCAGTCTGTATATGCAGTAAAGCAGGCTTGTTATACTCACTTTGGAACCTAAGGGGTTAATCCTCTGCATTGTGTAAAAAGGCTGTTTGATCCTGACTTCTCTGATTATCCCCTTCATTTACTGTCCCCAATCCATCTGCCATAGTTAGAGCATGTGCAGACGTGCCACTGCTGCTCTATTTGGTGTGTATTGCCAGAGAGTTTTTCTTTTTTTGGGGAGGAGGGTGCATGTGATCAGCACAGGGCCAATCAGCGCTGTCCAGACAGAGGGTCAGGGGTTATGCAGCCTCAAAAGACAGTCAGAGGAGAATGAAAACTCCTCCTACAAGATTAACCAGTGCTCAGCCAGACACTGATAGAAGTCACAAGACTGCTCTAACTGCTGATGAGAAAAGGCATTTAGCAGTTTATATTTACTAAAATAATTGCACTTCCATGTTGTGTACTTTGGGAGACCAGATATAGTGAATGCAGGGTCCGGGGTTTAGTAACACTTTATATAATACATACTTGAATAGAAATTTTTTTTAACCAGCGTTTAGTGTCACTTTACTGTTCATTAGGTGGATGTTTTTGACACAATTGCAGTGTATACATGTTCACGGACTTTCACTTTTACTTTGGAACTGCTCTATAATTCTTCTAATTCACTCTCCTATGCAGATTAACAGCCCTAATTTCACTTGCAGCATGCTAGTTGTAGGTCAGTAACTCAGAAAGTATTGATGTCTGGGACAGCTCAGAAACTAGAATTTTCAAAAGGAGATAAGTAATGATAGTTCATATATTTTTCTGATACTATGCGTGCTTTAAAGGGGAAAATTGTCAACTGCATAGAGGATACTTTTGCAAACGCTCTCAATTTCTGTAGGATGGCCAATGCATTGTTTTTTTTTTGTTTTTTTTTTTTTTTTTTCTTAAGGAAAGCATGTCTCATCCTCAGGAATATCACCATCAGTGGTTCATATAGTGAATTCGGTGTAGAGCTATTCACCCTGAGGTCATCCCAGAGGACAAGGGGGCACTCTTTACGTCTGGAGGAAAAGAAATGTAATCTCCAAACACGGAAAGGTTTCTTCACAGTAAGAGCTGTGAAAATGTGGAATAAGCTCCCTCAAGAGTTGGTTCTGGCCAGCTCAGTGGATTGCTTCAAAAAAGTCCTGGATTCTTTCCTAGATACACAGAATATAACTGGATATTAACATTTATGGGGAAAGTTGATCCAGGGAGTATCTGATTGCCTCTCAGGGGATCAGGAAGGAATATTTTTCCCCTGCAGGAGCAAATTGGATCATGGTTTGCTGTTTTTTTTGCCTTCCTCTGGATCAACTGTGGGTATAGGATTATAACTTTTTTTATGGTTGAACTGGATGGACTTTTGTCTTTTTTCAGCCAGACTAACTATGTAACCTATAACTTGGTTTGATTATACCACAGGTGCTTTTATTGGCAGCACTGCAATGAACTCAGCCAACTTAAAAAAGGACATAGATGACATGATGGTATAAAATAAAGCAGCAAGAAATGGAAAAGAAAACTTCATGTAGGAGCTAAAGAAAGAAAAGACATCCAGCAGAGTTAAAAGGAAAGAATGAGGAGAAGAATAGGAGAGGTTAGACAGGGAAGAGTGAAACACCTACAGTTACTGGAGGGATAAATGAGCAGGCTTTTCCCCCACTCACAGCTAATCGGACACTGTTCAGGTTTGTTTGGTGCGAGAAATCATTATTAGGGTTGGGGTGAAGAGGGAGAGTTCATGTTCAGGAGGCAGCCACTCACCGGCCAGGCAGCCATCAGAGCCCCGCACATTGTCCAGAGCGTCCAGTGTGACATGAGCTGCATTGTTATTGTCACACTCTCTGCCAGTCCTCTGCCCTGCAACAGAGTTAAGGAAGTTAGAGGTGGGCACAATTTTGTACAGACAGACTGCCCAACATATATTAGCCTGGGAATCTTGTGTGCACAGTAAGAAGAGGAAGAGAGTTGTTGACTGCAATAATGATGCCATGCAGGAGTGTCTGTACATGCATATTAGGGATTACCAGCAAGATATTAACAAGAACCAGTCCAGAATGGGCATTTGTGAATTTGAGTCTCTAGGTTTATAACGGTGCCACCATACCTTTCAGATGGGTGTGAGTTATTCACTTGTATACTCTCCCTGTCAGAGCAGAATTGCCATCCCAGTGTCATTTCTGTAAGGCCACCATGGAGGATGACTGGTCGCCTCCCTAAGTCTGTTTTGATAACTAACACTTTGTCTGGCCTGCAGGAGGAGGGTGAAACTGTCATTTCTTTGCTAATTGACAGTTTCCCCCTCCTCCTGCAGGCTCATGCAATCCTGAGAACACTTTTGTTATAGGACAGTTTTAAAAAAAGACAGGTCTTATGGCCTGGGTCAAATGGCCTTGGTCTTGTGTAGAAGGCATCAGGTTAGCATCAGTTTGAGATGCTTCCAAGATAATTCAGAATTCAATGACAGGCCAACTCCATCTGCAAATTGACCTGAAAAGGTAAGGTAATGCTGCACGATTGTCACAAATCAGTAGAAATTCATAGAATTACAAATGCCTTTTTACTGACTGCTCCTCTTTAATATTCTGCAGGTTGCATGGGGTCGTAGCATTCCTTACCAGGTGTCTAAATAAATGCTAGACCCACAATGGATTAGTGAAACATTCAACAACACATAAGCGGTGGCACCATGAAGACTAAAGCAGTACATGGAATATAATCAATGGGGTAAATACTGAGAGTGTTACCATCATCCTCTTCTGGAGATGCAAACTCTTCTTCTGTGACATTTCCCTTGAAAAGCAGAAAAAGACAACATGACATTAATGAGCCCATGTGATTATACCACTTTATAAACAAAAAAAAAAAATCTCCTGGAGCTGCCAACTGCAGATAAGCCCTACAGTCCAAAATAGGCAGGGGTAGGCATGCTGGTGACTTTTTGGACTGCAGGACTTAAGCTGGCCATAGATGGACCAAAATTTGGCTGGTTAAGCAGGGACCAGCTGAATTTTGATCTAATGATGGCCGTTCCCATTCAAGAGGAGTCAACCAATGGGTCTACTGGAAAATTTCTGTTCAATCAACACATGCAGCCAATCAGCTGCAGCGCTGATCAATATATTCTGGCAAAGGAGTAATCCCGCTGTCAGAATACGATAACCCAACAGGGAGGATTTCCTCAACCACTTCAAATGTGTGGATGGGGAAATCCATTTTTTCTTTTATCAGCTGGCTGGCTGATCAAAAAATAAAAACTGAATCACCTATGGCCAGCTTTATCTGCAGTTGGTGATCGGTTGTGGACAATCTTAGGAATCCTGTAGGAGTGGATTTACATCCATCCATAGTATGTATACCAGTATAATAAGAAGTCCCCCTTACAAAGATATTCTTTAGGAACATTATGAGTGTTTCCCATTGGATCCCCTGCCATTGGCACCTTCATTGTTTCTGCTCTGAGAGCGTCCTGTCCTGCCATCTGAATAATAGGGTAGATGTACTGTTTTTAGTGATCACCTCCTTTCACAATCTTGAAGAAGCTGATGGTTGCCAGTAGGCAACCTTGGAAAGATAGTATCAGGTAAGCAAGACATGACAGAATGTTGGAAGTACAGGTCTCCTTATGTACAAAAACATATTGATGGGGAGACCAAGTGCCAGGAAGAGGAAGCTTACTTTACTGTAAGTGTATGATACCCATTTGTAATATTAAAGTTTATGTAAACCCTAAACTTCTTTTATTTAGTCCTTTTTGGATTGTTCAAAACACTAAGCACCAATAAAAATACTTTTTTGATCTATCCTATTGTTTTTAAATTTCAGTTGAGAAAGTTAAGACTCATATAACATGTATAGTTTGCTTTTTTTGAAATATGCCTTTTTAATTTCCTGAGCCATCACTTCCTGTTTGCAGGGGTTTCCTTAAGGCTAGGTTCACATCTGTGTGAGTGGTGCCACTTCGGATCCGGACAAAAATACGTGCAGGTGACCACCCGCACAGAAGAATGCGGACCAGCGTGCGGGTTCCATTAATTCTAATGGCACACCACCCGTACTGGAAATCGCAACCGTACTGGGAACCGATGTTTCCCGTGCAGGCTGCGTTTTCAGAAGAAGTGCAGGGACTTCTTCCCTACGTGTCCTGGGGCACGGGAGTCCATCCAAATGAATGGGCTCTCATGCCCACGCAAAACGCGGACCGCAGGAGCGCACATATGTGAACCAGGGCTTACTTCACACCTGTGAATGCACCCTGCCTCCAATTAAATGTTAGAACCCCAGCTGGGGTTCCCGCATTCAGCTGAGATAGGCAGCCCCATTGAAAGCAATGGGAGGATGTAAGCTCCCACAGCTAATTGCAGCTACAGCATGTAATACCTCATGCAGCGATCAGATGCAAGTAATCAGCCCCATATGCAGACTGCAGATCACTCGCATGTAATGTCATTACCTGCTCTATACAGTTGAAAAAAAAAAAAAAAAAAAAAAAAAAGGGGTCTTTAGATATATAGGAAAATAGTGTTAGTTTTGGAAAATAATGATATTTTAGCTTTGTGAATTGCTCCTTTATTTCTCCCTGGGATGTGAAGCCACTGCAATAGCTAGTTAGTAGTTACTTTCAGGAAAATAACTGCATTAGCAAAAGATGATCACATTATGTAGTACTAAAGTTTAAGAAGACGTCAAAATTAGATTAACTGGCCGCATTGATCAGCGTTAACAATAAGCACTGTCTGTTTTGCATACTAAATGCCAGATCCTCCTTTCCTGCAGCCATCACTGTTGGGATCCATATGAGTTTTTTATGCAGTGACACAGACTGTTCTTATTTCATGATAGGGATTGAGGGACTTTTTTTGTATTTGAAGTCTGCAACATTTTGCAATGTTTTTTTTTTTTAAAAATGCTGGATTCACACACTAGTCACTGGATTCACACACTAGTGCTGCGTTACTGCATGGGCGTTGTGCTAAGGTGGTCCATTTATTCTGAACGGCCAGCCAATGCACCACAGCAAGCTCAACAACGCACATGGCCCTTTTTCTTTATTGTACATCACAGGACACAGAACAGGCTATTCATGACTATGTGGGTTAAACGCCACCTATAGGTGAATGGACACTGGGCGACCAGAGAGGATGTCCTCCCCTATATAACCCTTCCTACACAGGATGTACTTCAGTTTTTTCGCCAGTGTCTGTAAGGTGGATGGTCACTGAAATTGTTGCTTGTGCTCTAAAGGAGAATACCTAAAGGTATGGATGGGTTCCCTGGGGAATCATGGACTTTAAATCGGATCCATTCGGAAAGCTGCTTAGCTAAAATGGATGGTACCTTAGTCTCGCTGGATAAAGAGAAGAATCTTTGGGGTTTTGCCTGTAATTCAGCCTTACGGCGCTGGACCCTGCATAACAGAACCCTGTGCAGTAGAACCTGACAGTCGTTTTTCCAGTAGGGTGCTGTACAGGTCAGAGGCAAAGGCCCCATTTCATGGAGACTGAGTCCTTGAGGGTCTATATGACAAAGCCCGCCAAGATGGGTGAAAGTTGGTACCTGACGGAAGGTACCAACCTGCGGTGGGACTGGTAAGCTGCCTCTGCATTTTGCTAAAATCAAATTGTGTAGTTTTGGAGGGAAAGGAGGGGTATAATCCTGCTGCAATGGTCCATGATACCACTTGGGGGGGAGTGCTCGCTGTGAAGATGCCTCTAGGTCTGCCTGTGTTGGTTGGAGGCCACCAGAGGGAGTAGAGTGTGCTTGGAAGTGCGGCCAACCGCTTGCCACAGTGCGCGCATGTACAAGGTTTACGGGTGCATGTGCAGTCGGCCATATTTATCTGGCATCCTGAACACTCGTGGCTGGGATGCTCCTGCTGCTGGATGTTGTGGCTGGGACACAAAGCAAGCTTCGGAGGGGCATGCGAGTATTCTCCTTGGTGGAGACAGTAGGCCAGTCAGTTAGAAGGCTGCCCAGGGAGCAGAGGTCACAGAGAATATTTGTTTACCACACTACTTGCATGGCTGTATTTGTCCCTGTGTTGCTGTTCTTGGTACACAGGGTAAAAGTGCTTAGCAAAGTAATGTCTTCCAGAAAGCGGAGTGGGGGAGGCATGACAGGAAGGGTCACTAATGCACCGCTGCCGAGCCCTGAGGAGCCTAATCCAAGTTCTGCTGTTATATCCTCTCCTGAAAGGCCAGAGGCAACTGGGCAATCTGAGCCACTGTGGTTGTCTGGCATTGTGACTATTATTGGTGCTTCTTCCTCAGCGGATGTAACCAAAGACTATCTTGCTTCTGCCTTAGCAGGGTTAGATCAGTGTTTTCTCAACCTTTTTTCAGTCAAGGCAGCCCTTAAAATTATGGACAATCCCGAGGCACCCTTTAAAATTATGGACAGTCCCAAGGCACCCCCATTCTAAAATGCGGTGCCTCAAGACTGTCCATAATTTTAAAGAGGCACCCCATTCAAAATTGGAAAAAACTATTCAAATGGTTTTATATAATGCCGCAACATCCACACATGTAGGATACCCTACATTAGAGGTGATTTATGCTTTCAAAGCAAATACGCTTTTGCACACTGGTACTGAGTAGTATTCCAGTGTTTCTCTTCTCCCTCAGTTTTTTCTCCATCACTGAGCTATTGTGACCTGAGCATTGACAGCGAGGGGTGGGGGAGGGCCAAACTAGGATGCTGTGCAGGCAACCAACATCCTTCTTTTTGACTGATGTCATTGGTTGTCAGGCCACCGGTGGCTAGAAGGTTGTAATGGTGCACAATGAAAACTTGCGTAACTAAAAGGCAGGCTTGTTTCATCTGCTGGCTTGTATACAAGTTTTGGGTAGTTTTTCTTTTTTTTGTTTTTTTGACATTTTGCCAAGGCACCCCTGAAGAAACCTCAAGGCACCCTAGTTTGAGAAAGGCTGGGTTAGAGGCTGGGTTAGAGTATAAGATTACTGGGATGATTGCTTGTGTTTCACAAGGGGCTAAAAAGCAAGAGAGGCTCCCGTCACTAGAGCCATCAATCCTGGAACAGGAATGAGTGGAACCTGAGGATGAGGAACTGGAGAAAGGTCAGCCAAGGGAATATCTATCTGAGGGGTCACAGCCTGAAGAGAAGCAGGCAATTTTTTCATCTCAATCTCAGAGGTTATTGGTGCAAGACCTCACTGATATGGTACACTCTGGTTTCAGGCTACCTTCAGTAGAAACCTCTGAGGTTACGTATTTCTTTTTGGGCTCTTTGAAACCTCAGCAGAATGTTCAGACAATTCCAGTACATCCTCTTCTGGAACAGATTATGTATGCTGATTGGGATCACCCAGGCAGGGTTTTTGTTTCGCTAAAAAGCTTTTCCTTTTTGTATCCCTTGGAAGAGAAGTTAAGAAATGGGGTATGCCTGTAGTGGATGCAGCTGTTTCATCCCTGGATAAGTCTTTAATATGTCCTGTAGAGAATGTCAAGAATCCTTCAAAGGATTCAGCAGAAAACAGTGCCTTGGAAAAAAGTATTCATACCCCTTGAAATTTTCCACATTTTGTCATGTTACAACTAAAAAGGTAAATGTATTTTATTGGGATTTTATGTGATAGACCAACACAAAGTAGCACATAATTGTGAAGTGGAAGAAAAATGGATGAATGGTCTTCAAAACATTTACAAAATAAATATCGGAGTGTGGCGTGCACTTGTATTCAGCCCCCTTTACTCTGATGCCCCCAACTAAAATAAAGTGGAACCAAAAGCCTTCAAAAGTCACCTAATTAGTAAATAGAATCCACCTGTGTGTA